CCTGCTTTGGGCGCCCGCCAGGGCCGGGGCCGGCGCAGGAGGCGCGAGGCGGCCGCCGCGTCGCCCACCCGCATCTCGGCCACCAGCTCCAGCTCGTCCCCGTCGCCGTCCCCGTCACTGCTGCGGGGGCGGGGGGGACACGGCGACGTCGGCGGCCCCCCCACGCTGAGGGCCCCGGCGTTCGGGTACCACCCCCACCCGCCCATGCTGGGGGCCTGGCGTCCGGGAGGCCTCCACCCCCATGGGGGTCCAGGGGTGCTGGGGGTGTCCGGATTCCCCCCCCCAGGGTCTCCGGCGTCCACCGCCCCGCTCCCAGGGGTCCCTGGCGTCCCGCTCCACCCCCCCCAAGGGGCCCCGGCGTGCTCACCCCGCGGCCGCGGCCCCGCCGGGGGGCTGGCCCCGCAGCGCCGCCCGGCAGCCCCTCTGCAGCTGCTCCAGCAGCCCCCACACCTGCACCGCACGCGAGGGGGTCGTTAATTAGCTAATTAACCTGGGGGGGGGACGACACAGAGCTGCCCCCCACCATGGGGATGGTGACGGTGGCGGGGGGGGGAAGGCACTCACCGGGCCCTGCGCGCGCGGCTCCTGGCACCGCGACATCCTCTTCCTCACGGCCTCTGCGGGAACAAGCCCGTGAGCGGGGACGGGGGACAGAGGAGCCCTACGGGGACATGGGGGGCCCTACGGGGACATGGGGGGCCCTACGGGGACATGGGAGACAGGAGCTGGGGGACACGAATGGCACTACGGGGACATAGGGGACAGGTCCTGCAGGACAGGGGGGGCACTATGGGGACAGGGGCTGGGGGACACGGGGGGCACTATGGGGACATGGGGACAGGGGATGGGGACATGGGAAGCCCTATGGGGACACAAGGGACAGGGGTTGGGGGGACATGGGAATCACCACGGGACACAGGGGCCGGGCCCCACAAGGAGATGAACATGGGGACAATGTGACGAGTGCCACGGAGCGACAGGCACCACAAGGACACAGGAGACAGGTCTCTCCAGGTAACTGCCACCATGGGGACACGGGTGACAGGCACAAGAGCCCAGGGACACGAGAGGCATCAGGGGACAACAAGGACGGTGACACATCCCGCAGTGACGAGTGACACAGACACAACGCGAGGGGACAAAACTGGTGCCACAGAGCCCAAGGACACGGGGCAGGCCGGGGGGGGGCGGGGGGGTGACAAGTGACACCAGGGCCAGGGAGGGCCCCCCCCCCCCAGGGCCACCAGGGACAAGGACGGGGTCCCACGGGACACGGGGACAGGGAGGAGGTGACGGGAGCCCCGAGGGGACACGGGAGGGACAACAAGGGGCCCCCAATTGTGTGTCTGTGTCCCCCCCCATGGGGACAGCGGGAGGGCAGGACAGGGGACACCAAGGCCCCCCTGTGCCCCCCCCCGTGCCCTGTCCCACCTTGCTCAGCAGCCCAGGCGGCCGTGCAGGGCAGAGCCTTCTGCGAGGAAGAGGAGAGGAGCTCAGCACCGCGGCGGGGGGCAGGGGACCCAGGCATCCGGGCCCCCCCGACCCCCTCCCCGCCTCCTTTACTCACCACGAGCAGTTGCCCGGGGCAGCCTTCGGCCTCGGGGGGGGCGTCCCCGGGGTGCCCCCCCCGCCCATCCTCGCCCTCCTCCCGCCCCGGCGCGCGCGGCGGCTTCTCCTCCTCCTCCTCCATGGCCGGGACCAAGGCCTGGGGGGGTGGGGGGGGTGGGGAGACACATTGGCAGGGGGGACCCAATAGTGGGGGGTCGTCCCCCTCCTGCTGCCCCAAAGCCCCCTTTTCTACTCTAAACCTTTTCCATTGACACCCTAATTACCTTTATTTCCCAAAATATTTCAATCTTATTCCAATATTTTTCCTCTCCTAGCCAAATTCCTCCATTTTCACCCCAAAATCCTTTCTCACTCCAATATCCCCTTTTCCACCTCAATAGCCCCCATTTCCACCCAATATCCCCATTTCTATGCAACAATCCCCCAATTTCCACCCAAAATCCCTTCTTTTCACCCCCAATCCCCTTTGCCCAGCACTCCCTCCACCTCCCCTAGCCCAGCCCCCTCCCCAAACCCCACTTTTCCACCCCAGACACCCATTTTCCTTCCAAACACCGCTTTTTAAAACCCAACCTGCCCCTTTTCCATCCCAAAGCCCCCCATTCCCACCCCAAATCTGCTCCTCCTGCCCCAAATCTCCCCAGTCCCGCCCCAAATTCCCCCATCACCC